CTACCGCTGGTATAGCTCTCAGGGTCCTTGGCATACTCAAACCCCCTCACCACGATAAGGTGGAGACACCAAGGAGATTATTAGAGATTACCTTCATATATGTGTATATATATATATATATACATATACATATATGAAGGTAATCTCTAATAATATGATGTTTACACCGAGTTTCACAAAAATCTATCCATTGGTTCAAAAGTTACTACAGACAAACAACCAATTTTTTATTTGCAGTAAGGGACAAAACAATCGCCTGCATACAAAAAATAAGTGCTTTTTTAAATAATAAATGCTGTATTTATTATGTTTATGACTTATCATAAATTTGCTTGTGAGGATAACACAAGCAAATGGTGAAAGAAGCAAAGAGCTGACAATTTTTAAAAAATGATCAGGTTCACACAGTTCACATCACTGTTATCAATCAATGAAATCATACTGTAATCAACTATATCCTGAAAAGGAACATATTGTGACATATCGACCCACTGCTAGGCAACAGCTTGGTTAAAACATTCCCAAACTTAAGGCCTCAACAATAGGACATCCATTGCTGGGTAACAAATCAATAAACATGTGGCTATAACAATACATGACAATGATTACTTTCATTGCTATGCAAAGCGCTGTAGATAAAACAACAGCAGAAGATATGTTTTCTATGACCGCATCGAGTCAGTTGCTGGTGGGAGTACAGAAGAGTACAAGGATGAGAATGGAGCATCTCCTAGTGATTTGTGTAGTGGGCAGATTAGCAATAGCGCTATAATTGACTGTGATTAAGAGTTGATTGTATAAAGTCTTAATAAATTGAATCATCCATCCAAAACCCGTTACTATCAGGCACGGAACCCTGGACACATGATGAAATACCTGGAATATCTCAGCAAGGAGAGTTGCAGCTGCATCAGGGGCAGACTGGAACATCACTGATATCATCGCCATATTGTTGGGATTACGAGCAGTTGACAACTCGTTGTAGATGGTATGCTTCAGTACTGTAGCCAGGTTGTCTGGATGGGCAGTTATTAATTCCCTAACAACATGGCACAAGGAAAAAATATATAATAATCTCCTCAGAAATAAATAAGTTAAACAACTTTTAATTATATTTTTATAATCCATGATGTGTACGATGGGGTACCCAAAAGAAACCGAACTAATTTTTTTGTGGGCAGAGCTTTTGTAGTACTGCTTTTTGCCGCTATGAGCGCATAGAGCTAACATTCCTGAGTCGATAAGCCGACTACCGTTGCTTCAGAAGGTAAGGACTAGTTTCGGCAGAGTTTATAGTGACAACTGTTTTGTGTGATCGTCGTTTTTGCAATGGCTGATTTTCGTGAACAGCGTGCGGCGGTGAAATTCTGCTTTTTGCTC